TTACAATACATTAAAAAAAATAAATAACATATTTTGTATTAGAGATATCACCTTAAAAAAATATCAATAAAATCATCTGGTTGTGTCAATTAAGTAAAATGGCTTGTGTTTTCCCCCCCCACCCGTGTTTTTTAAAATCCCAGTATAATAAACAGATCAAGGTTAAGATTATGTAATCACCGACATTTGATCGTTTAGTTTATGAAAAAAAGTATAAGAAGCAGGTTTTTGTTAAAATTTAGTTAAAAATAATTTATTGATTCATAGATTATTGATTACATATTTGTCATTGACTTTCTCGTATATTCAAGGCAGAACATTTTTACAGGCATCTAACTATATAGCAGTACGCACCTACTAGGGTTCGAACCCAGGACCTTTTATTTACAAGGTGAGCTCGTAGATCATTCAGCCGTTAGGATCCGATTCAGTGATATATGAATTCCAACTTCTGACGATTCGCGATATATACATAGCGCAACCGCCAGCCAGTGTCATTGGTGAGTAACTGATCTTGCCTCATAACCGGAATGTTCCGGGTTCGAACCCCAGTGCGTGTGTGCCATTGAAGACTCCCAAACTAGGACAAAACAGCTGTGCAGTTCTGTCAGGTTTCTCAGTGGTTCTTTAACCGATGTAACCTATGAAATCCTTGCAAACTAACGCCTGGTCATTTTAATTATGCCACATGAATGCTAACCACCTTACCGCACGTATACTTTTAGTAGAGATCTTGTAAACATGTCGTAAAAATCAAGTTTAAAAGTTCAAATATTGTATTTTGCTGGGGATGTGGTTGCTTTGATGACTGCTGCTCATAAACGACTTATTTTTAGAGTTCTAATGTAAAGCTACAATTGGTGAGCTTGTAACAACAGAAGACAAGGGCCAGGCAACAGATCGTTTATTAAGGAAATCAAAGCATATTTATATATTTTCATGTACATTATTATAGTTTAGTTAAGCAAACAAACACAGTCTTCCGATTGGTTGTTTCTCACTTAAAGTTAATCTTTCTTCTCTTTATGACTGTTGCTTGAATATCAGATCATCTATATGTTAACTGTATCCGCCTACGCAAAGTCTGCTGTGGTCGGTTTTGAATCAGTCTTTGTTCATAGTTTCTCACGACAAATCTTGAGAACGTAAACATTGATGTAAATTACTGTCTACCAATTTCGCTAGTAGACAGCTCTCACCAGAAGCTTAGTTAACTAACTTGGGAATTAGAAAAGATACTCATTCTTGATATAATAGAGATCAGCGGCGCCATTTTACTGTGATATAGCAGTTGGAAATAACTCATCACTGGATTCTGACCCTAATAGTTTAATTGTGGTTGAATATCCGATAGCTCAAGAGTTTCCCTTCGAAACCAGGCAACTGTTCGGTCTTCGCTGATGTTAAATACTTCTTTCAAGAAATGTTAGCTGGTGATGAAATAATCTGTATGTGTTTAAAATGAGTTAGAATACAAACATGAAAAAGGTACAGTTATGTTCACTGAACAACTTATTTATTCCACACTATGAAGATCCCGACAATCTCAGCATCAGGAATCTCTTCTACATGAAAAGCCACTGAGAACCAAGAATATCTGGTAGCCACATTCACTTACAGATGACATGCATTGGTACAAGTTCAAGTGATACGCCATTTGATAGAAACGATTAATCTTTGTCGACAACTCAGTGTATACGATTGGTTTCAAACATTTTATTATATGGTAGTAAGTAGTAGAGGAGGTCAAGTTAAACTTTAAGCACCATAACTAACTACCAATGGAGTGCGACTGCACCAATGTCCTTGAAACGGCCACTGAGCAAATTAGTGAAACTTGGAGAATAATGCTGTCATCATCAAGAAAATATACTCATTTAAGTGGTATGTTATTAAATGGGATTTCTGGCAAGTTTCGGCTTAGGTTTGGGAAAGATTAAGTTACGCTTTAAGCCAATGGCAAGTTAGGGTTAGGTTAACCTGATAAGGGAAACATTAAGGTTGGTTCGAGTTAGATTACAGTTACTTACTTTACTTTACTTCGGCTATCTCCTACGGGAGGATGAGCCGGCTTCATGAGCATCTCGAATCATCGCTGCCCAGGAGCGGCGATCTGATGCAAGGTTTTGCGACAGGGTTATCCAATTCTTGTTCCACAGACGGAGTCCGTAGACAGTTTGTAGCCCCAGGCACTCCATATCAGCCTTGACTGTACCAAGCCATGTTTTCCGCTGTCCACCCCTGCAACATCGCTTACCGGGAACGCCGTAGCATGGTGAGAGTTGTTTGTAAGAGAGTTCATGAAGTTTCATGGGAATTCGGTACGAGTGATGTCCCCAGAATCGCTTGGCCTTCTGCTTGAGAGTGCAGCTCTATCGTTTACACAACCAAGTGTGACCTACAAGGCAGTAGGAGTGGAGTAGGGAGTCCACTATCCATTGGCAGCCGGTGACCGGAGTTCGGTTCATACGCCTTTTTGAATGGGGCCAGACATTCAGGACATCCGACAAGCCCTTTGTCCATACGTCTGCCGGTGAGCTCCAGTGAGCTTCATACGCCATTCGTTGGAGGTTTGGAATCAGGGTTTAGCCATCTCCCCTAGACTGTCTTCAATGGACAGTCAACCCGGTGAAGAGCGCCGGGCATCCGCTTTCGCCCTCTCACTTTGGTGAAAAACACCTCCGCCACGTGAAGGCAGTGAGTAGGACTTCCTCAGGAGAGGCTATGTAAGACGCCCGGTCATATGGGAGCATTTCAAGAGGTGTGCGAAGGGGTGGCCAACCCGCAGCGCAAGGCACCCACCCCCGACCATCCTGAGCCTTTGGAGGCAGATTACAGTTAGCTTAGGGATATTTTCAATTTAGGGTTAGGTTCAGGAGAGATTAGGGTTATTGTTGAGGTTGGAAGACCTAAATAATTACATGCATAGAATGTGGTTAAGTTACTCTGTTGATATAAGAACAGAACTTGTGCACTGTGGCGGTAAAGTATAATTCCATTGTGGGTAACATTTATTTTGATAAAGTCTCACAGTGTTATACAGTAATATTTACTGATGACGTTTCGAGCACAATTTACTGCTCAGTAAATATTACTGTATTACACTATGAGACTTTATCAAAATAAATTTTACCCACAATGGAATTATACTCTGTTGATACTCCAACCTAAAACTGAGAGCTATTTTTATCACATGTGAGAGCAAGGTATCCTCTGTAACACTTTCCTACACTTTTTATGCATTATTTCATAAATATATATTTATTCCATACACAAAAATGCCTCCTTCAGGCGACTGGTGCGTTCGAGGTCATTCGCTGATTAGTAGTTAGTGGTGCTTAAAGTTTAACTTTGCCGGTGAGGGTTTACTGTGGAATTAATGATGAACGCTTAGTTCTACTAAGCTGATTCTTTTACTTAAATCGTTCTACACCACCGTATTCGAAATGAGAGTGATCATTTGATCCGGTAACGTCAAACAAGAGGAAAATAATCCAGCTGGAGACCCAAACTCTTCAAAGTTTTATGTACAACAGTGTCTAGAAACCTGTTACTAGGTAACGTAACCGGATCTTAGTGGTGATCCACTGTGTTTCGGGTAACTGAGTGTTGATGTCAGTGATTCAGATAGAATATTAAACCACTACAAAATGCTGGAAGTTCAGGTGTTTAATTCATATTACAAATACACTATCAACGCTTATTTATTCAGAATTTTCCACTGATGACCACCATACATTAAGCTTCTCCGAATTTCATTTTGATTAAATATTACCGAACTTATCAATAATTTGCTTCTTTCCGCCTTGTGTTTAATTCCATTGATTTCCAGAATCTGCCAACAAGTTATTCACATGAATGCTTTTTATTATTCCCTTGAATTCCAGGTGGAACGCACAGCTCCAGCAGCACATCTCCATTTTTATCCTGTTCTCTACAGTCCTCTTTAGGACTGCCTATGGCCTTTCATTGTCTCCTCACACGAACTCCTTCGTGTCACATTCGAGTGCCTAGCTCATCGTTTTCCATTCCATTTTCAGTCAAGGGACAGATGCATGATGTCACTCAAAGGTTTCTTCAGCTTACATCCAATCTGTCTCCACTTTCTTTTACATATTTGCTGAGTTGCAGATCCTTGGATGGTTTGCTGTTAGAGTTCCTTGTCCCTTTTCCTTTAAGGGTGGTCATCTGGACTTCAATATGGAACCAGAGAAGGTAGCTGCTGATGGAAGTCTACGGTAACCTGCTGGAAATGCTTTTGTGACTCACCGAGTCTCTCAACCATAAAGAAGCACTGAATGACTTGATATTACTGTTAAAAGAACCGAATCTTGCTTTTTATACTTAGTATAGCAGATTTTCAAACTGATATTGAACTAATGAAGGTCTGTCTTACTTTTTTCTCATCCTGGCTTTGACATCCTGATCCATTCTGTCACCTGTAGTTGAAATGATGTTGCCCAAATAAGAGAAACTTCTTCGGTCGATAGCGAGTTACCGTTGTTGTCAACTGATTGTCGCTAATGACTGGCTACGGGACGAAGTTACCTAGAGTTCCAGTGAGAAGTCATGACCCAGGAGGTCAGCCCGGTCCACAGTGAGGACAAATATTCCCCGATAACACTGGCAGTTGGTCGCACTGAAATCACAATTTGGTAAAAGTTACAATTCATGGGCTGACCATTGAGTTGGGTCCAGAGGCTGAACAGTTCACCAGATTGCGGCGTTGTCGGAAGTTCCTGTGTTCGATCCCTGGCAGAGGGTGAGTACTGTCGATGAGTCCCGAGCTAGTAAGAAACAGCTGTACAGTTCTCTGTGGTGATTTTCAATGGTTCCCTAAATAATATAAATCCGTGGCCAAACTTGCAACTAGCCAGATCCCTAAAAACTAGCTCTTGAAAGCTATCAGCTCTGTCTTCTTTATGAATAATGACGCTTAATTATTTTCAAAAAAAATTAAAATGTTATCTTCTTTTTCAATTGTTTTTCAACTTATCCAGGTAATGAAATAGAACAAGCGACTGGTGATGATGAAAGGGGAGAGCTGGTGGTGGTGGTGGTGCAGGCGGTGCAGGTGGAGGTGGAGGTCCTGGCGGCGGCGGCGGCGATGTTGGCACAGACGCTGGTCAACTGGCTGATGGTGATGCTGGAGTGAAACGTAAAAAGAGGCTAGGGTTAACCGGTGGTCAAGCAATTCGTCCACAATATTCAACTAAAAAACAAGATTTCCAGGTAAATTTATGGAGAAATAAAACGTTTTGGTTAATTTATGTGATAAAATTTGAAATATTAATAGCTAATTGATAGGCATATGTATACAAATACGTCTGGTAATAAGTAACTGTACCTGAGATTTTCGTATGTCAGTGGGTTTCTTCAAAAGTTTGAGCACCAGCTGAATTCAGTTACGAAAACTGTTGAAAACATGGGACTACTAGACTCTTTACCCAGGACCTTCGGTTAAGGAGAGTCTTAACCATTCAGCCACTGGAACTGTAGCCAGTGGCCCATGAATTATAAGTTCTGCCAATTTATTCTCTAAGGGCTAGTAAGTGCCATGTATAGGAGTAATAATAGAAAAACAATAAGAAGTACTCTCAAGTTTTTCTTTGACATCCGTCAGGCTACACCGTCTGCCCCACTAAAATCATATAATGGATGACTAGTGACCATTCATTTAATTTTAACATTCAACAACAGTACTTTCAATAGGCCGCTTAACGAAATACAGTGTTTTTACTTCCTCTTATCCAGTAATTGTCCGTCTTATTCCGTTGTTGTTGTTCTTGTTGTTGCTGTTATCATTCCTTTCCTTCATTACGTATGTCTTCTTCATTAGAAGTGATTCTGGGATGTTATTATGCATTCCATCTGGCTTTTATTTGAAAAAAAACGATTACCTTCCAGCTCAGAGGACATAACCATACTTGAGTTACAAATCCCAATTATTTCGAAGAAACTAAGCGCTGAGACAAACTGACAGTATTTTTAAGTATTGATGAACTGTTCAAGTGCATATAAATGTTGAACAAGCTAATGATATACTGAGCATCGTAGTAATCCTCCGTTGAACAACACTGAAATAAACATGCATACAGGATATCACTGATTGTATAAAAAGGGACAAGGATATATATGAGGGAAGAACAGCATCTAAATGCATAAAACCATATAATACTGATTGATTAAGGTGAATAGAAGCTGGATAGCACTCACAACAACTAGGAGTACTTGATGGCCAGATCGAATTATATATATATACATATATAAGGGCTGGGTTCCAACCTCAGTGAGGTAGGTGCTTACTGATGAAGAGTCCAAAACTAGGACGAAACAGCCGTCCAGTACTCCCTGGTTTTCAATGGTTCTCGAACTGATATCAACCCGTGATCAACTCTCTCCCTCCACCATGTTACATTAGATTTTAAAATTGTCATCCTATCCCATCCTATTGTATGGTTGTGTGTAATTGCATGTAGTGCTATAGCTGCTTAGCTACTCTCCAGATTTCTTATCCTATTAGGGTTAACTAATCTAGATTTTGCTAGGTTTTTATGTTCGGCTAGTCTGACTGCCCCTGATCTACTAGTTTGACCTATGTATTTGACCTGACAATCATTGCAGGGTATTAGATAAACTAAATTGTTTTTTTTAAAGGTTCCACAGGATCCTTTATTCGACAAAGCTTGTTTCTAATTGAGTTTGTGGGTGGTTTGAATGCCAGCCACTTTTATTCCTGCCTTGTTAAAAATTCTGAGTAAGGTTTCCGAGGTTTCTTCTTTGTATGGAAGCAGTACTGATGACTTGGATTCCTTATTGTTGGTGTTGTCATTATCCTGCACATGTTTGACATGCATGACGTATTAATATTATTATTATCACTATCAGAGAGTGATAACGGAAGCTGTGTTTATCGAATTAACTGCAAATACGTGTAACACGAATGACTCAACACATGTCTCAGATATTTGTAAAATTCTACTACCCCTACAACAGATAGGAGAGAACAAAGAAAACTATTAAACTCAAGTTTCGAAATCATGTGATTATAATTGATGAAATGATTGTGAACAATAAATTTTGTTGGAAACGTCATCCAGTAAATAATACTGTTTCACTGTGTAACATGTCTAATAAACAAAATAATATGGAATTACGTACTACCACAGTGCCCACGTTTTACACATATACCCATAGGAAATATCTTCTATGGAGGAACGTGGAATTTTAGCAGCCATATTAACTAGATTCTACCACATTCCAGCAAACATCATCCTATAGCCTGACAGTCTTTAGGGTACGTAGATTCCATGGCTGAAAGAAACGTCTATGCAATGCTTCCCGGTTTTAATTTGGTGGATGGAATTCGCGATTCTTATTTCGTCGTATTTGTGACTCATCAACCGCACATACCTGCAATGTCCAGTGAGTAATGGTGTTACCACTGAGGCCCGAACTCAGTACCCACCATTTCAAACGCCAAAACACTATCCACTAGAACACTTGGGCCATGAGAGCCACCTCTGGTGCAACCTTGATTTTCTCGTTAACTGACTGAACCGAAATCTTCGGCTCTGAGTGGGTCACTGATAACACCAACAGTCACCAGGGAATGCAGACACATCTAACTGACTTCACTGCTGGTCACCATCCATCAAACTGCCTTAAGTTGATCCTCAGACATCTTTAAAACGCCCTCACAAGCAGCCGACATGTCAACAAAGAGCTAATTATTTCGGTCGAATTAGTCAACGGTAAAATCGAAATTTTTTAATTAAAAATAACTTCTTGGTTTTCTATATTTCTTCTAGTAAGCAGTATTACTTCATAAATGAATTAAAACTTTGAAATTAATCACACCCCATGAAACACTGTTGTCTATAATGATTCAAGAGTGCAAAGATGACATTTAACTCAAAGGATTACATCATCTAATAAGCAGTTTGTGTTAATCTAGGGATTAAAGATTTCTTAAACACCACAGATTATAAATATTGAATATCAATTTTATTTTTAAATGATTAAATCAGTTTAAAGAATTACCTCATCAACAGTATTGAAAAGTGTTTAAGAAATCGATTTTACACCTTTGATCAATATTTTACACCAGGGGTTTAAAGTTCACTAGATTGTATTGTACAGAAAAACTAAAATCTCCTGAAATATGCATATATTTTCGATTTGGATCACAAAGCGACTTAATTTAGAGAATCAGCGACTACATTTGCAAGTACAGGACAACTGTTTCGTCCTAGTTTTATATCTACCCTTCAACAGTTTACACCCTTGACCCAACTAGGGATCGAAATATATATATTATTTTAACTTTTATTATGTGAGCATGATAGTGACGGAAGTAGTGTATTTAAATTCTGAGTAACTCAAGTGAACGGGAGGCACTGTATCTAGATGTGGGTTGCGAATGCACTGGCACTAAATATCTAATAATATTTGCTGTCAGCTAAGTCGAAGTAACCTGAAGAAGTTTTATGGCGAAAGACTCCACTGGATATTTTGCAGTAAAACAGCTAAGTGGCAAAACACTTTGTGTACATAAGACATGAAAAACTGGCTAGCTGTCTTTGATCATAGGTGCCTATGTTCGAACTCCCGTGTTAGGTGGTATAACAGGGTGAGCAATGTTGAGGTTAGTCGTTGAGTGCTAGGTAAAGAGGAGAAATCAATAGACGAGGCTGTGAAGTTACACATATTAAGATGGTTAGGACATGTGTTACGCATGCCTAGCCATCACCTTCCTCGACAATGGGCATTGTTAGCTGACATATAGGGTCAGGTTGAAAAAGAGCCAGTGGTGGTCAAACCAAAACATGACTTCACCAGCTAATGAAATCCACAATAGTTAGTTTAAGCCACTTAAGAATGTGTAGACTTCCTGGTTGGGGTCCTCGGGACGGTAAATACCAATGGCTGGAGACAATCGGTGATATGGTTCAAAATCGTTATCAATGGCTGGCGCAGATGCATCCACTCCTCGTGACTAATAATATCCAATAGAACTATATTGTTCTTCGATATTACTATTCTTTTTGCCTCATATCTCTGTTTTGCTTTTTTTTACTTTCTTCTCTTGCTTTGTGTGCTGAGTGAAGTGTGGCGACTCGAACTGATGCACACAGGGTGCAAAGCAGTTCTATGTTGAAACCAGACAGACAGACATTCATAATTGAATACCAAACAGTTTTAGAATATTAAATAATTATCATACTGTTCTTTGTTTCTTAATCTCATTTTAATGCGTCATAACCAATCTCAGTAAGAAACAAACATATCTGTAAAGGTAACTAATAGTTGTGTAATATTCTGCTTTTATTAAAATAATGAGAAGTATTCAGAATTCAATTGAATTTTAGATTTTCCCGTCGATTGATTGGACCGAAGTGCTCGGCCTCAGGTTGACATGTTGGCTTCTTGTGCAGATGCTCTGACGATGTTTGATCATGTAATTAGAATTTAATTGGTGGATGATGACTGGCAGTGGAATCCAGGATGCGCATTTCGTCCTATTTGGGACTCGTCATCTAGATGTACCTGCATTTCCCAGTGAGTGATGATGTTTCCACCACCAAAGCGTTATCCACTAGACCACTTGGGCCACGAGAGCGTTTGAAACTATGGGCACTGGGTTCGAGCCTCGGTGGAAACGTCGTCACTCACTGAGAAATGCAGATACACCCAACTGACGAGTCCCATTTATGACGAAATGCGCATCCTGGATTCCACTGCTAGTCACCATCCACCAGTTAAGTACTCAGAATTGTTTCCAATACCTTTTCTATGCCTAGAGACAATGCGAATGAACAGAGTAGTATCAAGCATAGATTCAGTCTCTCATCATCACCATTTAATCCTCCCTATATATATATATATATATATATATATATATATTGTGTAGCAGGGGGTTTCTTGCTTGGGCTTTGAAGTTGCAGTGGTAATTATGTTATTTTCACTTTTACAGGGTAGGATTTCTAGCTTTATATCCAACCTACTGTCTTTACCAGACTTACCAATCAGCTTGGAGAGGTTTAGACGTGCGTCGGTTGTGTATCAAACCCACACCAACTAACTGTGCGTTTGATGAGAATACCACCAGCGCGAATATATACCTACTGCTGCATAGTCTACTGGCAAAAAGTATTGCCAGAATTTACACTTTTAAAGTCGATCATTGAAAAGTACTGCAAAATATACGGTTAAAACTTATCTCACGTATCACTGGTGTGTGTGTGTGTGCATGTGTAATTGCATAAATCTCACAAAACACTGAAAGTGCTAAGGTTACCTTTACCAACCTATTACCACTACTACTACTACAACTACTACTCCAGCCTCCTTCTATATGTCTGCAAAAACAAAATTAACTTTGGTTATATATTCTGCACATACTTACACAAACACCCGACAAACAGGTTTACACTTGTACAATAATCATTACCACATTTATATCTGAGCATGATATTGTGTAAACGTCACATACTCACTAGTGTATGTGTATACATGCCAAACTGTGTCATGAAAAGACAACTAGTGTTTATTCTCAGCGTTTGCGTTTTTTTCACTTTCTACGCTATAAAATATCATTTATTATCACCACAATTGTCTGTCCAAAGTAAACAAATTACGTATAAAACAGAATAAAACGTGTGAATATCAAGTTGGTAAACACACACACACACAAATAATCTCTGACATTATCAGATTAGATCAGACATGAAATACTGGAGTTGATCTTTGGAAATTGTTTTTTTCTCTTTCACGTCTTCTTTTGAGCATCTTCTTTCTTTGGGCGGAGACGGGGGGAGGACCAACATGTGGTGTTGGCTCCATGTGCCGCTTGTTCTATCCAGCAGAAATGTTGTGATTATTATCACCATTATTATTATTACTTATTATGACTTATTATGAGAGATATCAGTATTGCATGTATCACAGCGTCGTTGGTGTGTTTATTTCAATCCTTTTCACTTATTCAATATTCAATGATGACGAAAAATCAAGGAGAAAGAAAATTTCATAAAACATGTTATTTCTTGAAAAATTATGAAGAGATGCAATTGCTGTTGTTGTTGTTTTTTTCTTGAGAAAATCTGAGAAACCAAAATCAAAAAACAATTATGTTGGTTATTTTAGACGTCTCTATGTGTGACTGTGGTGTTTAAAGTTGTTCTTTGCATGAATTATTTTTGCTTACAGACAATGAAGAGATAGCTTGTTTGTTTTTCTCAAAGATTTTTAAAGTTTAAACTCTGTTAGAATCACCTTTTTTAATATTGTAATATCAATCAGTGTAGAACACATAAGATTCTCTCATAGATGTATCATGATTTTAGTCAGTCTGATAACAGTGCAAGTTGTAGTCGATTCCTGCTACAGTCTAACTGCCTCTGGCTTTCTACCCGGCTATTTCCAATTATCTGTCTGTCTTACACATAAACGTACTGAGATATTATGTTCAGTATAGCGAAAATATTCATTCAGACATCTATAAAACACAAAATAATAATTGAGCAAAGAATATCCTTTTCGATAGTCTCCTCTTCTGGCTCTACAATTATATATACTGTATGTTTATATACATAGAATATTCTAGATTAGTAGTCAATAACGATATAGTGTTTTTAATTAATATCGATTTGTTAAGTAAGATCAATGGAATTACAGTTCATTAAAGATGCTTAAATTATAATGATAACAAAGATATAATAGCAAATAGAATATCAACTAAAATTAGGAAAATTCACCAAAAATTGAGGATCATTCAAACCTAGATGGCCAAAGTAAGGACAATGTCTGAACTAGCTTCTTTTGGACGCATAAATTAGGCTTCTTAATATGGATCCCAACGGCCAGCCTCAGCAATATTTAGTAAACGAACTCTTAAGGTGAAGTTAAGATTTGTTGGTATGCGGTAAATGACTTTGAAAGCCTGGTGGACATCAATCTTGTGTTCTGTATCCACAAGATGAGATAGAATAGCGCTATGTGAATGGATTTTGTTTGTCCTTTACTTAACCACTATGCAGGGTGATGTTCAGAAATCCGACGAGAAACACGCCTAATTGTACGGCCTATGTAACTGGCTCCACAGGAGCAGTTAAATTGGCAGACACACATGGAAGAGTCAAAATTAGGCAGTTTGTCTTTTACTCCCGAATGCAAAAGAGGAGTGGTTTTGAAGACAGCGTAATTCGGCAGCAGGGAATGCTCTTTTTACCGTATTTCTAAGGCGTTGTGTTAGTATCTCGCTGATGTTGTCCCCAAGGAACTGCATTTGTAAGAATAAGGCCTTTTTATGAGCTGTTGGTACCTTGGGCTGCTTTGATTTTAGATTCATGTTCTTATCAATAAACTTTTCTGGATAACCGTTTTCACTCAGCAACCATTTAATATTATTAAGTTCCTCATCAAGACATTCATCCGAGCAGATTGCTCTTGCTCTGTGAACCAAGCACTTTATCAGATTGCGTTTGTATTTCAAGGGCACGAAGCTGAAAAAATGAGTATACTGACCCGTTGATGTAGGTTTTCTATATACACTTCTTCTTATTGTGCCATCCTCTTTTCTGGTCATAAGGACGTCTAGAAATGAAATACTAGAGTCTTTTTCTTTCTCAATAGTAAAATTTATTGCAGGATGAACCTCGTTAAATTTATCCAGGATGTTCTTTGCTTCCTTCTCATTTTTCATAATCAAAAATGTATCATCCATGTACCGACAATAGAATTCAAGTTCATCAGTAACATCTTTCAAAGGCCCATTTTCTAGTTTCACAAGGAAAATGTTGGCTAGAATGGGTCCTAGTGGTGACCCAATTGCCACACTATCTATTTGTCTATACAGTTCCTTGTTAAATAAAAAGTGGACATTCATTGTGCATTTCAAGAGAAGCTCTTTCATAAAAGATATAAGAATGCCAACATTGATATTTCCTCCTATCAGTTCTTCGCTTACAAAGTCTACTGTTTCCATAAGTGGTACATTGGTGAATTAGGAAGATACGTCAAATGATATCAACAATTAAGTCTTTTATCCTTTCAACAAATCCAAGAGTATCCTTTACACTGTATTCTGTTGATCTTATTTGTTGTTGTTGTTGTTCCCTTGGGTTCCTAGTGGAACATAGGGCTTCAACTGCACGTCTCCACTTGCTTCTGTCGTGCAGTTGATCTTATTTAACGAATCAATATTATTTAAGAAACACTAATATTGTTATTGACTACTATTCTAGAATATTCTATGTATATAAACATATATCCATATAATTGTAGAGCGAGAAGAGGAAATTATCGAAAAGGATATTCTTTGCTCAATTATTTTGTGTTTTATATTATGTTCAAGCAATTAAAGTATTATTTTAGAAGTCTATACTATTAGTAGAATACTTGGGAACTGTAAAGTCTAGCAGGATGATGAAACTTCTCTTGAAAAATGATACTAGTAGTTTGATGATGATATTAGATGGTTGGAGGCAATCGGTAGGAAGCCTTGCTCGACCTAGGTTTCGTGCTAGTTGGCACTCGTCAGTCAGCAAGGCGTATCTCAGAAGGGACATGAATTCCTTCAAGGTTGCAGATACGCTTTGCTAAGTGACTGGTGAGTGACAACTAGCACGAAACCTAGGTCGAAGCAAGGCGTCCTGCCAATTGCCTCTAACTATCTAATATTACCAAATCAATGTACACCGTGATGGCGAGCTACGTAGAATGGTGGCCACATTGCAAATCTGACTGATAGAATTCAGTCTGTACCAAAAAAGGGACTAGATACATCACACTAGTTACGAGTGTCCAATCAAACGAGTTTAATAATTGAAAAAAACTATGCCTTTCAACTGTTAGGTTACAGGAATTCGACTGACCACTAACTGACATCAGTTTGAAAGCTACTAAAAGCTGGCGATTGCTGAACAGCTCTCCTTCCCTAGTTTGTGACTGTTCAGTTGTACACACACACATAACCTTTCTGGGGATCGAACCCTAGCCCTTCAGGTGACGAGGTGAGCCTATTGGCCGTATACCACAAGGTTGGAATCTGATGACCCATCAATTCTTACTTCTGCCATTTTACAATATAGAGTGCAAACCAGGATGGAGTGGTTTGGAGTTCTATTGAGAAGTCGTGACCAGCAGGATACAACAAGTCAGGTGTGAGGACAATTACTCGCTGAAAATACTGGCTGGTATTGTTACTGTATATCACCAAACATCATAATTTTGTCACTTTATATTTTCACTGAGAATTACCTTGCAAAACTGAATTTCATCCCGCTTTGGTTTCTATTTGTTGTTTTCTTTTCTTTTTAATAGATCCGTGTTAAAGTTGTTGAAGCACGTCAACTACAAGGTGCGAATATCTCACCAATATGTAAAGTAACCTGTTGGAAAGAAAGCAAAGATACACGTGTACGCAATTCTACTAATTCACCATTTTGGGATCAAATATTCTTCTTCAATTATTTTAATTCAGCTGCTGAACTCTTGGATCAACAACTCGTCTTCACTGTCTACGATTCACGTCGACTTCGACGTGACTCATTGATTGGTTCATTTAAATTTGATTTATCACTTGTTTATGAATCTGAACGTCATTCAATGATTAATAAATGGTTGCTATTGTGTAATCCAGAAGATCCAATGTCTGGTGCAAGAGGTTATTTGAAAATATCAGTTGTTATCCTGGAACCTGGTGATGAAGCACCCGTAAGTATTATACATATACCTTTTGCTTTATGTTGTTTTCTATTCGAATCCTTCTTCAAGGCTTTTTTTTATTAATTTGAATACCATACGTAAGTCGGTGGCACATTGGTAAGGACTCTCGTTGACCATGCACATGGTCCAGGGTTCGATCCCCTGCCGACGCACACCTGATATCAGTGGTTGGCCTGCAAAATTTGCGCTACCGATATCATATGCTGAAGATTCCATTTTTCTTTCCTTCACTTTCCCCAGTGGAACATAGGGCTTCAAGCTAGTGGCTTGAAGTTTCTGTAGCAGTGTTTTATTTTTACAGGATGGAGTTGCTAGCCTCATGCCCAACCTTTCCTCTTCACCAGTATTATTTCTGGCTTAGCGAGGTAAAGGAGTGCGTCGGCCGGGGATCGAACCCCGGACCGTGTGCATAGACGGCGAGCGTCCTAACCGCTATGCCACCGACGCACTGAAAATTCCCTACTTGTACCAAAAATACGGTGTCGAATCAAGCTGTAATAAAAAATAAAAATAAATAAATAAAATATCCAAAACTATCTTATAGGAAATTATATTCCAAATATGTAAATGACTTCATAGATTAGTTTCATTCACTACTTGCAATTATTACTAACTACTGGAGTGCCAGACAGTGCACACTTCCTCAGGTTACTCCAACTAACAGCCGAGGACTTTATAGATAAATGTCATATTTCGGTTTAGCTAATGAGTACTGCATAGGGATTTCTCAATCCTGATGATTGATCTTGAAATAATGTAATTTCCAAGACAGGTCTCAAACTAGAAACTGTTGGTTTATTGACACAAGACTCAACAACAACAAACATTTACGTGTCATCGGAAATGAGCTCCACCTACTGTATGTATGTGTGTATGAGGGCTAGTGATACTAATACCTGGCTGACAAAATCTTGGTAGGTGGAGCAGGATTCGAATCTCGTGAATTACTATAGTAAATTCTATAGTAACCTTAGCAGGAGCTATACAGGCGGTATAAGCGTTAGTTATACTGTTGTCATACCTTGCTTATATGACTGTGGATGGTTTTCCATAGTCTTGGCGGACGTATGGAGCTTATTTTATACTAAACTGTTTGACAGGGAAAGTAATTTCATTAAATTTGGTTAGTGCTAGGTTCATTTACAGTGACCTGTGTCACTATACAGTTGCTACGCATGCTACGCTTGCCTATAATAAAGCGTTTGTCCAGTCTTGTATGCGAGATGGGCCCTATTTGGCTTGTCCATGCATTGCATAACTGGCTGACGCTGTCGTTGACTGGAGTAACTATGTATACCTATACATTATTATATGTACTTTTTTATTCCTTCACGTTCACAATGGAACATAGGGCTTCAAACTAGAGTATAATTCCATTTTTGGGTAAAAATTTGTTTTGATAAAGTCTCACGGTGTTATACAGTAATGTTTACTGATGACGTTTCGAGCACAATTTATTGCTCATAATCATTGCTCACCTTGATATGATTATGAGCAATAAATTGTGCTCGAAACGTTATCAGTAAACATTACTGTATAACACTGTGACACTTTATCAAAATAAAATTTACCCACAATGGAACTTCGAACTAGAGGCTGGAAGTTTCTGTAGCAGTGTTTATTTTTACAGGATGGGGTTGCTAGCATCATGCCTAACTTTCCCTCTTTGCCAGTTCTATTAATAGCTTAGCGAGGGAAAGTAGTGCGTCGGCAGGGGATCGAATCCCGGACCATGTGCACGGTCGGCGAGCGTCCTAACCGTTGTGCCACTGAAGTACTAACAGCGCAAATGATCCATCAAGGGAGACAGCTCACAAGTGGTTGCCCCACATGATGATACTACATGCCTGTCTAGTCTCGCAAAAGGCAAGGATAAAAATGTGTTCAGTCCTCCTGAAAAGAAGTCTATAAATGCCCATTCAATGGGTGTATCATTATGTGAATAAACCGGTTGATCCTGCCAGTAGTCATATGCTTGTCTTACAGATTAAACCATGTATGTCTAAGTACACGCCTTAAAAGGATGAAACCACGAACAGCTCACTAAATCAGTTATGGTCCCTTAGACATCATAGACAACTGTAGTAGTTCTACGGCTAATACGTGCAGTTATGACCTAACCAGCTATGGCTAGGACTACATCTCCGTACTAATACAATATACCATTACCTTAATCCACTTTTACTCCTACCAGTGGGAATTGGTCTTTTTAATAATAAAAATATCAACTTTATTCTGATAATTATGTTTATTTTCTATAGTTTGGTTTGTAAGGGTTAGTTTTGTTTTACGAGTTGATCATGGATTGATATCAGTTAGAGAAACATTGAAAACCAGCGAGTACTGGACAGCTGTTTCATCCTAGTTTTTGGGAATCATCCGCAGTACGCACCCACTGGGATTCGAACCCCGGACCTTCCGGTTAAAAGGCCAGTGAGCTCGTATACCATTCAGCCACTGTGACCCTATTCAATGACCAGCCCATGAATTCTAACTTCTACTAATTCGTGATTTAGTGCGACCCCAACTAATGTCGTCGGTAGGACATCCATCCTCACATGTGACATCTGGATGGACCTCACTGGTCACGACTTCTCACTAGAACTCCAGAAAAATCCATCCATCAATCCATGATCAACTCGTAAAAGCGAAACTAACCCTTAGAAACCTAACTGTAGAAAATTAATCTGATGCTCGCTAGTGACTTGCTACAGGATGGAGTTTCCTGGAGTTCTAGTGAGAAGTCGTGACCAGTGAGGTCCATCCAGATGTCACGTGTGTGGATGGATGACAATGACAATGGTTTGGGTCGCGCTAAATCACGAATTGGTAGAAGTTAGAATTCATGAATTGGCCATTGAATCGGGTCCCAGTGGCTGAATGGTATACGAGCCTGCCTTGTAACCGGAAGGTCCTGGGTTTGAACCCTGGCGGTGGGTGCGTACTACTGATGATTCCCAAACCATGTTGAAACAGCTGTCCAGTACTCCCTGTGGTTGGTTTTCAATGGTTCTCTAACTGATATCAATCCGTGATCAACTCGTAAAAACAATTATGTTTATACATTATACAGAATACTCAGAGTAATCACTTCCAAAATATCTACTCCTTGTGTAGAATCTTCAAGTAAAATATTCACCGACAGTGTGTAGTATGACGCAACATCATTTTATCCCAAAACAACAGTCAATTGTCTACAGCATTTTTTTTCTTCACTTTATTCTTGAAGTACACAGCAGTAGGCTGAAAGACACGGAAAGTTGGGTGCATAATGCTGGACGGAAATTTAAGTAGCTCCGCGATTCAAGCAGACCGTCAGCAGTGATAGTTGCTTTTTTTGTGATAATAATCCCCTGACAATAAATATCTCTTTAAGTTCTCCTCTTCTTCTACTTATTCTTCAGAGTATGAAAGTCACTGAAGCCGATGAAAAAGAAGATATCGAAGGGTAAGTTTAAAAAAAAAGACAATCAGTTTATATCAGTTTATGTTACATACAATCTAACGATTTAATTGATTAATTATCCAGTCATTCAATCAATCAATCGACTGATTCCGACGATTATCAAGCATATAGGTAGTGGTGGTGGTGGTCGTCGTCCTTGAAATCGTGAGATTTTGATACACCTTTGACCTTTCAAAGTTGTTTGAAAGATGTAAAAAAAAAGATGTAATAAAACGTGTATTATTGTGTTTTACTGACTAGAGTTGTATCACTTTGAATGAAGATGATAGCGATGAGCATCGTACATGAAAGCTTAAACTATTTCTTGTTAATGTATACACGATTTGTTGATAATTCTCATACTATCCATTCACATACCTGTCCACAATCACATGTATTTAGTATAAAGTATGTTTCACTGAGAATAAGGTAACTTTTGATGAGACAGGTATTTTGCATATATATATATATATATATATGGCTGAGTGCGTCGGTGGTATAGCGGTTAGGACGCTCGCCGACCATACCCTTGGTCCGGGGTTCGATCCCCAGAAATAATGCTGGTAAAGAGGAAAGGTTGGGCATGAGGCTAGCAACCCCATCCTGTAAAATAAATACTGCTAACGAAACTTCCAGCCACTAGCTTGAAGCCCTATGTTCCACTGGGGAATGTGAAGGAAAAAGAAAAAGAAGAATATATGGCTGAGGGTGAAAAAAGAAACTTGCGTGTTATGTGAACATCATTCGTCTTTAATATATGCAATGTTAGATTGCAACGTAAAAAGGAAAGAAGATGGGAGGGGGGAGTTAAACACACTAGCGTGTTTACAGGAAACCCACGCACATTCAAACAGATATTTAGACTTACGATCATCGCATCCTATGTCAGTAAAAATAGGATTGGTGAAATGTTTAAGTGACAACAGAGCACAAAAACTAAGTAGTACCAAGGAAAATCTAAGACAGGAAGTGATACACATAAAAGAAGCCTTGAAACTTAATAATTACCCGGATAAATTAGTCAGGAAATATGTAAGGAAATGTAAAAATAAAATAAATAATGATAGTAGCGATAGTGATAATAACAATAATAATAATAATAATAGTGATAATAATAGTAATATTAATGACGACACCAATAATAAGGAGTCTAAATCATCAGTAGTAATTCCATACAACGAAGGAACCTCGGAAGCCTTACGCAGAATTATTAACAAGGCAGGAATAAAAGTGGCATTCAACCCATCCACAAACTCAATTAGAAACAAGCTTTGTCAGTTAAAGGATCCTGTAGAGCCTTTAAAACAAAACAATTTAGTTTATCTAATACCCTGCAATGATTGTCAGGTCAAATACATAGGTCAAACTAGTAGAACAGGGGCAGTCAGACTAGCTGAACATAAAAACCTAGCAGCAAAATCTAGATTGGTTGACCCAAATAAGATAAGAAATCTAGAGCATAGTTCAGCTATAGCACTACATGCAGTTACACACAACCATACAATAGGATGGGATAGGATGACAGTTTTAAAATCTAATGTAACAGGGTGGAGGGAGAGATTGATAACGGAAGCTTTGTTTATCGAATCAACTGCAAATACGTGTCTGCAGTAGGAATGATTCAACACCTGTCCACCCAGATATCTGGAAAATTCTACTACCCCAATGACGACAAATAGGAGAGGACAAAGAAAACTATAAAACTCAAGTTTCGAAGTCGTGTGATTATAATTGATTGATATGATTATGAACAATAATGAATTTTGTTCGAAACAATGTCATCCAGTAAATAATACTGTTTCACTGTGTGACATATCTAATAAACAAACTAATATGGAATTATTTACTACCACAGTGCCCAGGTTGTACACACATATTAAAACGTCTTTAATATGAACTGTAGGGTCTCATAATCCTGCAGTCTTGTGGCTGGTCACTGATGAAACATCTCAAGTGTAAATAAAGCCATTAGTTTATGGTGTAGATTACCAAGAAATCAATTGATTTGCTAAATCATTAGACTATACAATTTAAACAAAATATGTCTTTTTGAAAGAAATAAAACTTAAGGCGATAGACATTAAAAACCTGTACAACAATGGCCACTATGCTGTGTAGATTCTGATGCCAGTAGGGGAATTGATACTGAACAAAGAATACTCTTCTCGATAACTTCATCATCAAACTCTACATTTATATATACATTATAGTGAATGAATGAATTAGTGTTATAAACAACATTAATGTTGTTTAAATAACATCGAATCAATAATGTTGATAGATTACAGTTCATTAGCATCAACATAAAACAAGCTGAATGTCAGAAAAATTAGGAAAGTTAATATTACAAATTCATGAGTTTATAGTCTCCATTGAAAGCTGGCCCGGGAAGTAGTAGTGGCTAGTTGGACTTGCTTATTTTTCACACAAAGCGCTGGTTGTTTCACGCGAATCCCGATAGCCTCTGCTGGTTGGAGCATGTAGTACCAGGATGTTTTTGCCAATTTATTTGATACCCGGTAGGTAGACGATAGAGAAGCATTCTTCAACGCTGGCTTTGTGGCTGGTTTGGACCAGGTGGTCCAATATCGAACTTTTGATGGTTTTCACTACACCTTTACTTAGTCATAGTGGGAGATGTTCTCGAGAATTACTGATAAGAATAGTCTCGGATTGTTAGACCCTAACTGATGTAGTGGCTTATGAATACAGATGAAGTAAGAACTTAGGTCTCTGCAGTAGGTAAACCAACTGCTGCCAAACTGAAGCGATTATGAATTCACTGCAATCATCACGGGTAATCTTTGGCTGCTCAGCTTCGCTGTCTTTTGTCAACTGTAATCAAATATTGAGACACGATGGAGAGGAAGGGTTTGTTACTTGATGATGAAACTGCTTGAGATTTTCATTTTGCCTTCAACTGTCACCCACTAGTTCAAGAATTAACCAAGTTGTTAAAGTGGAGTTATTTGACTATATTGTCATGTGAGTATATGATCATTCTTGTCTTAAGAGGTTACACTTGAAGGTTACAGTTGGTGACTGGCTTAGAACGTCGTCTACCACGAAAACCTCACATCTGACTACCTCACTACTTATACAGCACTACCAGCAAAAGCTATCCATTCTACGAGGGTATTATTATTATTACTTCCCTTACCTCCTAGAGGAACATAGGAGTTCAGCCACACGTCTCCATTGAGCTCGGTTCTTTGCCAACGTTTTCATTTGGCTCCACGTCTGCCCACATGCTTTCATCTCTTCACATCACCTCCTCCATGTCACATCACCCTCGAACTGACGACCAACTCCTATTCGAGTGATGGTCTGTCGTGTGATGTCACTCACTTGGTGGTTTTCTCAGAGTATGGCCAATCCACTTCCATATCTCTCTGCATGTTTGTTGTACAGTTGGTTCCTGCTAGGTTGGTTCGCTGACTGCCAGAGATCCCCGTTGCTGATCTTTTCTGGTCGGCCATCTGATGCTGAGTGGTACTGAGCGAAGACAGCTGTTGATGAAGGTGTGTAGTTTGTTCAAAGTGCTCTTCTTGACTTGCCAGGTCTCTGATCTGTATAGTAGCACTGACTTCACATTGGAGTTGAAAATCCGGATCTTATTTTTCACGCTGAATAATGCTGTTGATCTCCACACAAAATTGAGAGAAATGAAAGCTTACTTGCTCTCCTGAGCTTCGCTTTGATATCCTCATCAGTTCCGTCCATCTGTAGTTTGAAATGATGCTTCTCAGGTATGTAGGTAAGGGAGGTTGCTTCTTTCAGATTCCTCTGTTGTTGTTGTTGCCGTTGCTACTGGCTGGGAATCTGCATCACCTCCGTCTCCACCTTCAATATGTTCACCTGAAGTCCTTTCTTCTCTGGATGCTTCTTCTGCCAACCTGTTGCTTTTCACTTGCATATTTCCCAGTTTGTGTCAAATCAGACATTTATCATCGGCGAAGTCCAAATAATCCAAGTTTTTTGTGTGGGTCCATTTTATGCCTGTTCCCTTGCTGCCCGCTGTCTGTCGCATCATCCAGTCTACCGCAATCAGGAAACTCATCGAAGATAGTAGGCAGCCAGCTTGTCTGGAGTTTAAGCTGGAGGTCATTATCCTGGGCTAGATTGCCTTCCTTTGTATCAGAGCCTTCGTTGCCGTTGGTTACATCATGATAGTCAATATATCCATCCATCTAAGCCCTTTGAACATGCGAAAAATCATGTCACATCCCACTGTATTTACCAGTTTGAATGTACGTGTGGACACACATACATGGGGAGGACTCATCAATCTCTGCAAGTAAGGGCTAGCTTCACAGCACATTCTTAAAGGGCTCCAGAAGCAAATCGAATCTTCAAAACCCATTAATGGTGAGAACCGATGATATAGCTCCTCTATTGCGAAACATATTATAGAGACAGGACATAAAAATGACGCTAACACATCTTTTAAACCTATCTATGAAACATGTTTAGGGGAGGGCGTATTCTAATGTTTTTGGAAGCCCTGACTGGCAATTAGGAAGTTAAAACCACCTTTATGCAATCATAAAAAACAATTCGTCATCACACTAAACTTTCCTTGGTAAACTATGTTTTGATACCAGCCAAAGTAGATGTATTATTACCTCTGTTGTTTGGTTTAGTGATCTTCATTGTTATTTTGACCTTCATTATGTCCTTTTAACTTGACCTAAGTCTATTTTCTCACCTCTTAACTCTTTATTAATTTCATATATATAAATTCCTAGGACAAGTTCGTGTGTGATCAGATTGTTCGAAATGTGTTGCGTAAATACATTACAAGATTCAGACAAATTACGTCTTCTTATGGCTTTATCTAAGTTGATAAAGGGAACTAATTGTTTTAAATGTTGAAACTCTTGTTAGAATATATAGATATCTGGAAAATATTCACTCTAAGTAAACATGAAAAATAAGGAAATGTTTTAATCCCTCATATTCAGCAATATTAAACTGTCACTTGATGATTAGGTTTGCTTTGTTTTTCCCTTTTGACTGACTTTTCACCTGAGAAGAATCTTCTGTCTTCCCTTACATTCCGAGTGAAATATAGAGGTTCAACAGGACATCTCCATTATGTCCTGTTACCTGCAGTCCTCTTCATCTGGCACCCAAAGTTGTCCATTAGCTATCACTTCCTCCTAACGCGATCTCCTGAATGTCACTCTCGGATGCCTGACTGACTCGCCGTTTCGCATTCGGGTTCCAGTGGAAGGCCTGATGCGAGAATTAAAAGTGTTACATTCAAATCCATGGCACTGTACATCCTTTGTAATTAACATATCATTCTATAAGTATTGGTACAAATGTCTTTATTAAAGCGACGAAACTTTCTACACAAAATTAATCAGTAAGCAATTGAACCTTTAATTGTTATATATGCATATGAACCGATAAACTCTTCATCTTTGTTTTTCTTGCCTTTCCTCACCACTTCCCCACTCCCCACTACATCCTACAGAAATCTTCTACGTCCAGCTGGTGTACAACTGAGGCCAGCGATTTTTAAAATACTACTATATATGGCTGAAGATTTACCAAGAAGTAGGTTGGATTGTTTATGTGTTTTTTTTCTTTTTATTGACTTCGAAAGCAAATAAACTGGTCAATCTAAATTGGATAAACTGAAAAATCTCTACTTTCATGCAGCCATCCTACCACATATATGACATTCATATAAATTTAACTACAGCTGTTAACAGTCTTTGTTTGATTATTCATAAGTTATCTCACTACTTATGCTATTAAGTAGTTTAATTTTATAATTCATCAGTTTCATGCAGACTGTAGGCTTTGATTTAGATTTCAAGATCGATTTTTCCAGGAAATAATAATGGTTACGGAAGCGTTACTAATTATGGAAGACGGAGAGACTGTTTCGTCCTAATTTCGGACTCTCCTGCATTGAGAACCCACTGACCAACCAGGGATAACACTCAATATCTTCAACTTTCAAGCCTATCAAGTTCTCGTGAAGACTCTAAGAGTAGAACAAAACAACTTCCCAGTACTTTTATTTTTAATAATCCTCTAATTGAGCATGGTTTCTCGTGAAGTCTGCAGTTATCACAACCTCAACAGTTTTATTTTGAATCTCTACAGATTGGGTTCTTAATAATATTGTAATAAATATAATAATAATAATAGTAGTAGTAACATATTTCCTTAAAGTCTGATTCATGTTTGATCTCCAACCTCTTTTCTTACTATAAAGACTGATGTTCCGACAATTTTGAGTTTCCTTGAATTTGTATTACTCATGATACAAAGTTCTTATAGTTTGTTACAATGAAATTGTCTGCAATACCCTGCTCATTATTTTGACCTGAGTCAATACAAGTACGCCGGCGATTAGATCCTCCAAAAAACGATAAAAACAGCTGACGAGTATCCAGATCATCTATCAAGCTTTGAAACTGCACTAGTTTAAATGAATGGTTTCTGACCATTCAAAGTAATCAACTGCGTGCGTTATTTTGCTGCTGCTATTAAGTTATGAAAATTAAGGAATCCTGTCATTGTAGATAACATTACTATGGTCAGATACAAGTAGAAACTTCCTAAAAGGCTAACATCTGATGATAACGATGGGACTATTCCACATCTATGGTTAAATCTATGATTTTCAGGAGTTAATAACCACAATTGCTGGGCTCCTTTCAATTAGAATAATAACGTGCTTGCAGCTATGAATCATAACAACTCTTTAATGCTACGAAAATCATTATCTGCTTGAGTGTCTACACTCTTTAACTGATAAAATCCTCTCATGTGAAACATTTCTGGAGATTTAGCACAAAAACTAAAATGGATTGCCATTTCCGTATTTATTAATACACAAAAAATACTTTAGAATTTGGATGAACCTATACTTACCTACTTAAATCAATATAAGTAGCTCAATTTTATTTTTAAAATTATGTGAAATTCATTGTGTTTCTTATTGTTTTTTTATGTTCTCAGTGGATTCTGATGCATTTAAGGGAATTAAGAATTTAATTAGTAAATCAGATGAAGACAAAGAATTTGTTGATCCTTATGCAATGGTTTCATTTGCTGGAAAATCCGTAAGTTATTTTACTGTGTCGTTCTGCTTTTCAATAGTCTCGAAAATTCTCAAATTTAAAATTGTTCAGAGCTTTTTAGCTATTGTAGATATTTCACAGCTAGGCTTAGTGACGTTTTCAGCTCTGGTTTAAGTAACAGGTTGTGATTAAATGTCGGACTTAGAAGCCTGATTCCAGGATATTGCACAGGTTGCACATATATTGATTTCGCAGGAAACATGATTTCTGAAGTGGGAGGAATTCTTAGTACAAATCTCCTGTGACTGGACTGAAGACGGATATTCTCAAGTCCCAATAGGATGTCGTCACCTACCATATCGAGAATGAAGCAGACGCCCATTGATAATATTAGTTTTTCTGTGGCTTTATATCGTGAATAAATGCAAGTTTGAATTCATACATCATTTGGTTCTAACCTAGTAGCTGAATGGTCAGCGGGCTCACCTCATCACCTGAAGGTCGTGGTAGGGTCATGGATCCCGAAAAACCTACGTAGAATCTTCCAATTGAAGATGGTTCATAACCAAATGCATAACGAAATTATTTGAAGTTCCCAGAAACTTAAAAATTGAACGCAATCATGATTCGAGTTTGTAGCCATTTCACTTATTACACTAATTGTGTATTCTATAGAGTAGTAACTGACTGCGTTTCGGTGTCGAACTTCTCGCAGACATGCCGCAGTTCAAACTATCCTATTCTATGTAGCACACAAAGGTAGAGGAAACAAAAGAAGAAATTCAAAAGAACTATAATAAGCAGAAATGTATCGCAAAGAGAGAGAATAAACACATAGACAAAAGCGAGGAATTAATGAATTTGGGAGATGACAAAAATTGTTTATATCTGCGCCACTCTCAGTGATTTCGAGCCGTGTTACCAACATTCTCCAGCGATTAGTTTTTAGCATTTTGACTACCATAATGTGGAAGTCTACACCTCCTTATGTTGCTCAAGCTCACAGTGAAGGACTCTGTGGATAGATGCCAAGTTTTGATTTAAATACTCCTATCTCTTTTGTAAACATCATCAGGGAAGGACGCATGTATATGGCAAAAAACTATGAGGCCACGTAATACTTCATCGCCACTGGCAGATGTGGCAATATAAATTCATGAGAATAAAATTAGGGCACCTAACATATAACAGATAGACCTTGTAAAGTAGTTTTTCATCTGGAATGCGATTTTTAGCTTGCGTGGACTGTAGCATTTGTCATCTCCTTCAAGTGGCATACATAGTTATTACTTCAAAATAGTGTCAATTATAAAACGAATAGCTAAGTAGCAAAGTTTCTGGCCATATTATCAGTAGAAAAGTTTGTTTTAAAATCTAAAACTGGAGAAAAGAGATTCCTCCAGGTTGATAAGTCCTGGTAAGCATGAAATTTAACTCTATATAAGGCATTCTGTCAAATAAATTTTAACACACAATGCTCCAGATTAGTTAGTGAATTAAAGTGATCTTGAGTAGCTTCTTAACTTATAGATTGAACAAGTTGATTTCACCATGAATGCGTAAGTAGGATGCATGTATTTAGAGAAGATTGTAACGACAGAAGACAAGGGTCAGGCAACAGATCGTTTATTGAGGAAATCAACAGATATTTATAGATTTTTATCTACATTATTATTCGTTATTATTAGCACAGAAACAGAGTCTTCTGATTGGTTGTTTTCTCGCTCAAAGTTATTCTGTCATCTCTTTGTGGCCATTTCTTTGAAGGTCAGACCATATATCTGCGAATCGTATCCGCCCACGCTAAGTCTGCTGTGATTGGTTGTTGAGTTAGTCTTTGTTCTTGTTTTTTTCTCATGATCAAGATATGGGACGTAAACATTGACGTAAATTGCTGTCTATCAATTTTGGCTAGCAGACAGCTCTCACCACAAGATGAGAAATAACTTTTGTCTAATGCAGATTAGGTAATATTGTTTGGTTTTATAGCAGATAGTGAAATTATGCAACTATAGCACAGCATAATAGTGACAATAAAGATAAAGGTGACAGTAGAAATGGAGAAAACAATATCTACGATTATCCTGTGTTTCCAAGTATTGGTTTTGTTGAGATTTTGTTTGATTGGTCGGAGGATTTCATCATGAACTGACATCAGTCAGAGAACTATAGGAAAACCAGCACTAGAGTACTGGACAGCTGTTTCGTCCTAGTTTGAGGCTTTTCAGTGATACGCACCCACTGGGGTTCGAATCCAGGACCTTGCGGTTACAAGGCAAGCTCGTATACCATTCAGCCACTGGGATCTGATTCAATGGCTCATGAGTTCGCCTTTGAACCAGAAGGTCCTGGATTCAAACCCTGGTGAGTGCGTACTGATGAGGATTATCCAGTGTCACTGGTGAAGAAAACTATTCTAGTTTGGAGGTGAACACATGGACTGGGTTGAACATTTTTTCATGGACAATGCCTCCGGTATACTTAGGGTGATTGGAAAGAGTACAAACCTAGAGAATGGTATGGATTAAATGTTTTTATCAGTCTTCTGCTCCGTATCCACTAGGTATGACAATATAGAACTGCTGATTGACTTTATGATTCCATCTTCTCATCTTGTTGCACAATAGTCAAGGAGGCGATAGTGGGCTTTTCAAATCATTCATTGTATACAATTGACTTAATAAGAACAGTTAAAATTATTCTTGTTATTGTTATCTTGATCAGCTTAATTATTGTCTACTAATTCATATGAAATAATATTTGCTTAAATTGTCTTCTGTAATTATCATAATGGGAGTATTTTGAAGCTGATTTCATCACTCTTCTTTGCTCCCTCTTTTTTTATTTTTACAAAAAACCAGATTAAATCAAGTACAAAATATGGTACAGATCATCCTGAATGGAATGAAGAAATTACAATGAATATACAGGTTAGTTAGACATTCTCCATCTCTATTTTCCTCGGCATATTTGTTGAACAGTAAGTTCTTGGTTGGTTTCTTGTCAGAATTCCTTATTGATATTTCTTTCTGGCCTGTCATTTGATCTTCAATATGAAGCGAACGCAGCTGTTTTTGCAGTATGCTTCTGGGAAGGCTTCCAGTGACGCGCCGAGTCTTTGAACTAATATGGAGACACTAATTGACTTGAAATTAGTGTTGAAAATTTAAATCTTGTCCTTTAGGCTGAGTAAAGCAGATTTCCACAATTATTTCATATTAATCCATGTTTATCTTCCTTTTCCTGTCCTACTCTTCATATCCTCATCCGTCCCACCACCTGTAGTTGAAACGATGCGGCTAAAATGAGTGAAAGAAGTAACCTCTTTCAAATTTCTTTCGTTGATAATGATTTTTTTATTCTGCTCGTCACCTCCTTCTTCTGCTTTATTTTCACTCAAAGTCCTGTCTTCTCTCTCTGCTTCTTCTGTCAACTTATTGTCTTTCGCTTATAATTCTTCGAATCCCTGTGATATTTGGAGAAAATCATCCTCGAAGTCCAGATCTTCCACAGCCTTCTTATTGGTTCAATGTGCTTCGATCTTCTGGTTCCCTACAGTCCGCCACATATTCCAGTTCACTACAATTAGAATATCATCGTGATAGTAGATAGCCTCATCTTACTCTTGTATTCACTTCAAAGGCATCATTGAGTTTTCCGTTGTGGATCACTTGACACTTGGCACTATCATATAGTTGCTGAGTGAGGCTGATAAAGATTTCGGGCACTATAATCCGTAGTGTTGAAGTAGTTTTGCAATTTACTTTACGATCAGTGCTGTTGAAAACCTTTTCAAAGTCAATAAAGTTGAGACAAATGGTTGACTGCCATTCTATGCCCTCTTTGATGATGATGATGCGTCGTAGTTTTGGATTTGGATTCGCATGCTGTTGGCTTTTCCGAGATGCAGTCTATTCACAGGGAGTTTTGCATTGAAAGCACCTTTTAGTCTCTCAGGAGATGTCATTCAACATTTTGCTTGACATGGACAGGAGTATGATTTCAGGGCATACACGTCAATAACATTATTCTATCAACCTTCCTGATATATGTATTCACATATGAGCATTGCTTTCTCATGTAAAGAGTGGTCGTAATACTATCTAGTTATTATGGTAAGGGAGATTGACTGGGAGGAGTCAGTCTGTTGAAAAATGTGTATGTTAAAGCCAAGGATGGTATATTTTCACTTTAAACCATACATGAATTCTGGTAATTGACCTAGTGAAAAACCAACTACTGTTGTCTATCTCAAAATCGATATTTTACTAAGAGACCGTTTGTGACTGATATAATCTATTTGTCATCTGATCATACTCCAGTAACTGCTTTAATACTATGTGGTCAGGTCACTTAGAATCAGTAAGAAAAATAATTAGCTGAATAATGGGCTTTTTAAGAATTATACTTCTTGAAATAATCAACTAGATCTTGTAGCTCAGTCTATAAAATAAATGATTCGTAGGTCGATGATTTGGAGACCCAACTCCCCATATTAATATTAACCACCGACTACATGTATTATTATTGTCTCCTTTAGTTCCTAGAGGAACATAGAGCTTCAGTCGCACGTCTCCATTGCGTTCGGTTCTCTGCCAACGTTTTCATCTGGCTCCACGTCTGCCCACATGCTTTCATCTCCTCTCCAGATGACCTCCTCCACGTCCTCCACCCTAGCACTGACGACCGACTCGCCGCTTCCCATTCAGGTTCCACTCGTGCAACGGCCTGTCGTGCGATGCCACTTGACGGTTTTCTCGAAGTATGACCAATTCACCTCCACTTCTTCCTGCATATTTGTTGCACAATCGGTTCCTGGTTGGTTCACTCCCAGAGATCCCTTTGCTGATCTTTTCTGGCCGGCCATCTGATCTTGAGTGGTATTGAGCGAAGACAGCTGTTGATGAAGGTCCAAATGGAACATAAAGCTTCAACAGGACACCTCAACTTTGTCCTCTTCACTACAATCCTCTTCAGCTGGTCCCACGATTCTCCATAAGCTTTCATACCCACCTCACACGATCTTGTCCATGTCAGCCTCTGAGAAACACCCAGCTCGTTGCATATCATTTAAGTTCCACCCGACGACCTGGCGCGAGATTTCACCAAATGGTCTCCTCAGCATCTGTCCGGTCCACCTCCATTTCCCTCAACAAAGCTGTTGAGCAATAGGTTTACTTCGTTTCCATGAATTTTTTGATACTAATTCTTCCTGGTCATTTGATCTGCAATATGGAATGAAGGCAGCTGTTGATAAGACTGAACAACCTGTTCGAAATGCTTTGCGTGACGCGCAGTGAAAGTTTCTGACTCATACAAAAGTGCTAACTGACTTCAGTTGGTGTTGAGAATTCAAATTTTGTTGTTTATGCTGTGGAGTGACAAGAAGATTTCCAAACTCATTTCAGACTGATGAAGGTCTGTCTTGCCTTTCTGATATTCATTTGCTCTGAAATCCTTATCCGTGTTATCGCCTGTAGTTGTCACAATGCTGCACAGCTAGATAAATGAAGGGAGTGACTTCTTCCTTTATTTCTCCTGTTAATAGCAACTGGTGCTTGTCGTTGTTGTTGTTGGTGGTGGTGGTCGGTTATCTTCATCACCTCTGTCTTCTCTATGTTCACTTAAAGGTATGTTCGCTGCCTGATTCTTCCGCCAGTTTGTTGATTTTCACCTTTAAATCTTTGGTTTGTATGTGTAGATATGAGTCTGCTAATCCAAAGATCGTTTCAGACTGCTTTTCATTGACAATGAGTACATCATTATGGTGAAAGGGAACAGCTTATTTTACCTCATAATCAAATATAACTGGTTAAACTTCATCACCGCAAAAAATATTAAAAATAAAGATCTACTGAAGAGATGTGTTTTGTTCTGGTTTTAAATTTCCATTTAATAACTAGAATAGATTATATTTATTCAAAATAATCTTATTTTACGGAGCTTTTAATCCTGTTTTTTTTATAGTTTCCATCTATGTGTGAGAAACTGAAATTCACCTTCTACGATTGGTAAGCTTTCATTAGTATAAATTTTAGAATACATTTTCATTATATAACCTTGGACATTGAATGTTTATAACCATGGTGACAGTGTAACGACAGAAGATAAGGACCAGGCAACAGATTGTTTATTGAGGAAATCAACAGATATTTATAGATTTTTATATACATTATTATTGGTTATTATTAGCAGAGAAACAGCGTCTTCTGATTGGTTGTTTTCTCGCTGAAAGTTATTCTGTCATCTCTTTGTGGCCATTTTTTGAAGGTCAGACCATATATCTGCGAATCGTATCCGCCCACGCAAAGCCTGCTGTGATTGGTTGTTGAGTTAGTCTTATTTTTTTCTCATGATCAAGATATGGGACGTAAACACAACAGTAATGATGCATTCTTCAGTAGTGTAGGGATATTTAACTGCTCAATTTAGCCGGGTTGATTTGAAATATTCGATAATTACTTGCAAAATATTTTTCAGCATGATAAGGTGTTAGTAGAACTCACATAGTTTGGGTTCGATTCCCCCTCCCCAGTTGTACTCTTAAAATCTAGCTTATCTAATCAACGCTCTGGTAAATGGTCTGGTAAAACTGGATAGTTCGACGTCAGACTAGCAATCCTACGCAGTGAAAACAACAACAACACTACTGCTGATGAAACTTCAGATATCAAACTTCAAAAACCCTATGTTCCACTTGGAACACAGAGAAATGAACAGCAGTAAAGAATTGATACCATAGCCAAATGGTATCCGTCAACTTTTGTTTGCACCAAATAGCATATTGTTCAATACACGGGAACCAGCATAGCTTCAATAGATATATCGGTCTTCTGTTAACCATACCTTGTCCTTGACTGACTCAAATTCATATCGGGGAACACATGTTCAAAGCCTAAACAGACTACCAATAAGTGTAAATATCAGTTATTATGTAATGTTAATCATTACGCAAGGCTATTTTTCATACATCACGCCAACACTGAATTAGACATGTACATTACTCATCAAAAATATTCCCCTTTTTTTCTACACACACACCTAGGGATCGTATTGGTTATGATGATCCTATAGGAACAGGGATAATTTCTATATCACAAATATCAGCTTTTCGTGATGACACTAGCGGTTAGTTATTGTTGTCTTGTCAATCTCCCTGTGCGTATGTGTGTGTATGTATGTATGAGTGAATGTTTGTATGACTGACTGTATGTGTATGTCTAATCACAGATTATCACTTAACAGCTTAACACATTATAGTACAGTACAGTGCAATACATTTTGTAACCATCTCTTTGTTGGCTTTTACTTGGTGGTGAACATGCTTATGTATATACTATTCACAGTTAGTTAGCTCTTTGTCTGCTTACAACATTATGTGTCGCTAAAAATTTAATCTTCCTCATCTTTGTGATTTATTTGGGTGACATTTTCTTATGAAATAAAACTTCTATATACATATTTAATATCTCCAGTTTTAAATCAAATGGTGCTCTCCGGGATTTTGTGTCTATATAAGCGGTCTAATTATAACCATTCATTACCGGAAAGCTTCTCATTGGTGAAGTTTGTTTTGAAAATTACTAGTCAACCAATCACATGATAGGACACATCAAGGTCAAATTAAAACCTCGAATATTATTGGATAATTTATTATATATATACATATTTATGATTCTTCTTTATTTCTTATATATTTTTTGAATAACATTAACACAAAACTCGGTGGTTATTATTTATCTCACCTGATATTTGTATTAGGGATCGTGGTTCTAAAGATGATGCAATTGGAACAGCTACAATAAGTTTAATTGAAACTTCTTCACAAGGAACTGATGGTATGTATATATATACACATATATAATAATATGTGAACTGTGCATGTGTGTAGTTGATGGTGGTGGTGTTGGTTTGGGAAATCAGTTATCTTTGATAATGTTTATGCTTTATGTTTGCATGTGCCTGCCTGCACAGCTATCTAATGAATGCATATTTCTGAAAGGAATATGCAGTAACTTGATTGATGCTTGACAGAGAACATCTAGAGACTTCGTAGTGAGACCGACTCTTCAGTGATCTTGAAAGTAACCCTTCACAGGAAGTAAAATGTCTACAGTTTCTGGTCATATTATTATTTTTATTCCCTTAGATTCCAGGTGGTACATAGGGCATCAATGGCACATCTCCATATTAACTTGTTCTCTGCAGTCCTGTTTAGCTGGCTCTACGGTTGACCGTAAGGTCTTATCTCTTCCTCATGAGATCTGCTTTATGTCACACTTCGACAGTCAACTTTCCGTCTCCTATTCGGGGCTCCACTTGGGGGCCTGGAGAGTGGTGTCACTCAGAGGCCCGCTCAGATTATGCCCAATCCATTTCGATTTCCTTCGGCATATTTCTGGAGCAATAGGTTCTTTCTGTTACTTCCTTCTGTCCATTTGATCTTTGATAATGTTACGAAGGCATCTGTTGATATGAGTCTTCAGTAGCATATTAGAACTGCTTTCCGTGACACGTCAAGTCTCCGAATCATATGGAGGCACTGGCTGACTTGACATTAAAGTTGAAAAATCCGAATCTGGTTCCTTATGCTTTGTGCAGCTGATTTCCTTAACAATTTCACAGTAAGGAATGTCTATCTTGCTTTCCCAATCCTGGTCAGTCAAAGCATTTCTCTTACTCTTATAGTCATAGTATATGCTGAAGGCAAACAATACTGACTAGTGACTTCAGGCAAAGTTAAACTTTAAGCGCCACTAACTACCAATCAGCGAACAACCCTCAACGAACCAATCACATGAAAGAGTGATTTTTGATTATAGAAAACGTATATTGGTGAAAAAAGCATAAAACTGTTATATAGGGTATCTTTCTCTAACATGTGACAGAAGCATCTCCCAGTTTAGCATAGGAGTGTCAATAGAAAAGTTACACCACATTCTGTACATATATTCATCCAAATGACTATAAATGACATCCTTTTGAGATCCATTTATAGCCCTAATCCTATTTTTTAATCTTCCCCAAAATCCTTCTATAGAACTGTGTGTGTCCCTGTAATAGGATCCTCAAAATCACTAGAATGGTTCACTCCGTGATGAATATATTCAAGGAATGACAGCGAGTTATAACTTTTCCATTCAGCAGTATGTACTATAGATCCCTGTTTCTCCAGCAGAGTGACAATAGGTACTAAGGTAGTACACTTTCCGTTTGCTATTCTCTCCACGAATCCTTTCTGCAGGGAGTTGTCATATAAGCCGATCACCCAAACATTGTTGGCTGGCTCATGACCATGGTTGTATTTTTTCTACAATAAGACATTTTCGTCAAAGTGTACGACGACACCTTCTCCGCCTAACAACGAAGTAATTCTCTCCATTTTCCATGAGGCGATGTCTCTGCAGTGCTGGTACCACTGAACTGTTGACACGAGGCTATTTTCGGTTTCAGCAGCTGCGCCTCTCACAGGCTGTTTTAAAACCCAGTAGTTAAAAATACACAAAATCTGGGTTAGGGAGAGATGCGACCTAGCAAAAACTGTCCCTACAAAATATTAAAATCATCAAGCAAATTGCACAACGATGGACATCCATCAATCGACCTGTTAAAGCTTTTTAAACTCCACATGAACAAGTCCTCTCCTTCCTAAGCAACCCAAAATCCAGGCAATATTGCAAAATCTTATCCTCATCTAACTGCAAGCAGGCATTTGACACGAATCAAGCGGAATACAACCTTGAACTCACGTGGATGAACCTCAATGGACCATTCGAGGTCATTCGCTGATTGGTAGTTAGTGGTGCTTAAAGTTTAACTTGGCCTGACTTCAAAATGCGGAATTTAGATTCAGCAGTCATTAGGATTTACATACATTTGTAGTCTTATTGTCAGTATTGCTTATTCAAATGAAGAATGGAAGTGTATAAGTTATCCTTCAGTGTTTTAAATAAACTCTACAAATAAATATCCGTATACATTCCAAATTTGATAGTTAGGAAACTGCTTAACATAAGTTTAAATTCTCCTTTGATTCATCTCTCGGGGGAAGGAAGTCTTTATCTGTCTCACAATTTAAAATAAAGCAAAAAAGAAAATGAGTCGATTGTTGCAGACAAAATATGAATGAGTAGATGACAGTTATCTAATCATTAAGGTGACAATGTAGCAAGTTCAACTGAATTCAAACAAGCGAACCACAAATAAGATTGTGTTTTCAAATTATTATTCCTTTAATTCCTAGAGGAACATAGAGCTTCAGTCGCACGTCTCCATTTGCGTTCGGTTCTCTGCCAACATTTTCACCTGACTCCACGTCTACCCGCATGCTTTCATCTCCTCTTCCCATCACCTCCTCTATGTCACCCCACCCTTGCACTGACGACCAACTCACCGCTTCCCATTCCAGTTCCACTTGAACGATGGTCTGGCGTGTGATGTACCTCACTTGATGGTTTGTTCTCTAAGAGTATGGCCAATCCACCTCCATTTCTCCCTGCATATTTGTTGCACAGTTGGTTCCTGGTTGGCTCGTTGCCAGAGATTCCTCCCTGTTGCTCATCTTTTCTGGTTGTCCGTCTGATCTTGAGTGGTACTGAGCGAAGATGGGTGTTGATGAAGGTCTGTAGTTTGTTCGAAGTGCTCTTCATGACGCGCCAGGTCTCTGATCTGTATAGTAGCACTGACTTCACATTGGAGTTGAAAATCCGGATCTTATTTTTCATTCTGAGTAATGCTGTTGATCTCCACACAGACTTGAGAGAAATGAAAGCTTGCTTTGCCTTCCCAATTCTCGCTCTGATATCCTCGTTAGTTCCGTCCGCGTGTAGTTGAAATGATGCTTCCCAGGTATGTAGGTAAAGGAGGTTGCTTCTTTCAGAGTTCTCCCATTAATGCCGGCTGATTGCTGTCTGTTGTTGCTGCTGTTGCTATTGACCAGGAATCTTCATCACCTCCGTTTCCATCTTCTCTATGTTCACCTGAAGTTTTGTCTTCTCTGGATGCTTCTTTTGCCAACTTGTTGCTTTTCACTTCCATATCTCCCAGTTTGTGTGAAATCAGACATATATCATCGGCGAAGTCCAGATATTCCAAGTATTTTGTGTGGGTCCATTTGATGTCTGTTTTCTCACTGCGCCCTGTCTGTCTCATTATCTAGTCTACCGCAATCAGGAAACTCATCGGAGATAGTAGGCAGCCAGCCAGCCTTCTCTTACTCCCGTCTTCAACTCGAAGGATTCGATGGGTTTCCCGTTGCGGATTACTTGGCATGCAGCATTGTTGTACAACTAGTGGATGAAGTGTATGACTGTTGGTGGCACTCCGCATTAGCGACGCTCTTGAAGGCCTCTGTTTTATGAGAAGGGGAAAAATGCTAAAGACAGAGACCGCCCTATCAAATAAAAGGAAAAGTATAGATATCGAGTTATCTGAAAGAACCAAATCGGATTTTTACAGTATAACAATAATTTCTTGGTTAAACTTGAAGAGAATGAATCGCATTGTCTATAAAAAAATAATTTGAAAGGACTTCCAGGTGTCCACCTCATCATTCCGTGTCAGCAAGATACCTGATGATAGCACTATTAAGAGACTTTGCTCCTCTGAGGCTGGGGTTTTTTGGTACATGTTCAGAAAATCGGCAGTATGTCCTTCTTCTTATACTCCCATAGTAAATGCTGCCACAGATACAATGTAAATTTGTAAGCACAATAAGAGCTAACATAAGAAAGGTATCTGTCGACCTTTGATTTCACCAAATACCATATTGTTCGATTAAAAAAACCAATATGGCTACACGATAAGTTCTCGCTAGCAAAGTATTCAATCTTCTTTTGACTATTCCTGTAACACTACCAACTTTGAAATCAAGTTGTTTGATCTTACTATTGATAAAAAAGAAGATGCGGCTTTTATTTTGTTTTCCTTCACGTTCCCCAGTGGAACATAGGGTTTCAAGCTAGTGGCTTGAAGTTTCTGTAGCAGTGATTTATTTTTACAGGATGGGGTTGCTAGCCTCATGCCTAACCTTTCCTCTTCACCAGCATTATTTCTGGTTTAGCGAGGTAAAGGAGTACGTCGGCCGGGAATCGAACCCCGGACCATGTGCATGGTTGGCGAGCGTCCTA